AGCAGGAATTGCTGTTCTGTTACGGAAGAAAATAAAGTTGTATTCTGAGACCTGAAGTAATTTTTTCCTATTCAAATGTGTTAATAATCTCTCCTAATCATTAGAAACAAAAAGTGGTTTAGCGTACCAGTCTTTTTAAGTTACAGAAACTGCATGTTTGTGCTGCAGAACCACCTCTTTAAGAACTGTGCGTTTCTAAGGTCTTGTTTCTCACTGATTCTGAAGCAACTGAAAACAACTCCTAAGGATTTGCTCTTTGTTAAAACAGAGCCATTATTCTCTCATCCGCAATCTTTCAGTTTATTTTTAATTTGGACGAGGGAATCCTTCATCAGTGGAATATCAGAGTCTTTATTGTGCAGATGCCGTTGTCCTCACTTCTTTGTGAAGCGTGCACTCACAATCCCTCATTAAATAGCAACAGAATAGAAACTTTCATCTTGAACTCCCTTTTACTCGATGCGGTTTCTCACTGCTACAACCAGCTGCTAGCATTCAAGGTGGATGCTTGTTTTGAAATGACAGTACTACTTCTGTGACCAACTACCTGAGACATCTTGATGCAGTAATCTTTGGAAAATAAATACGTTATCTAGACAGAAGGGGAATCCTTGCCCTTCTCCCACATTCTGAGAACAATTGGAGCAATGAACAGCTAGAGGATTAAAGCCCTCTAGCTTTGGAGGCCATCATTTGTCATAGGGCACTGATCTGATTTCTTATCGAAGGAAAAGCACCGTCTTTTTTCCTGTAGCATCCAGCTATTACGCTTTCTGGTGCATGTCAGTGATTTTCATGTACTCCACAGTGTGCTCCTCTGTCACCTCTCCGGCTGGTGGCAGTATTTTACAGTTTGACATTAATCATTTAGTTATGTCATGTAGGGACTGCACCTGAGTTAATATTCAGGAAGGTGAGCTGATAGAAAATCAAATCCCTCACCTTGCATTTTCTGAGCATCGGAAAATACAGTGAAGCGCTGGGATGTGAAAATAACCGTAGTGTTGGAAAAAGCATCATAGAAAACTGTGGTTTAGAGCAACTCAGCGAACAGCATTAATATTTTAATTTTAAAAAGCCCAATTAAGACCATTTATTGAGAATGACAGAGGAAAATGTACCGTTCCAGTGGCAGCATACTTTCCGATCCCTTTTGTCATCAACTAGTTGTTTCTTTGTTGGAAATTACAAAGTAAATATTAAAATCTTCACATATGCTAAGAAAAAAATACCAATAATAAACTTTCATTCATATTTTGGTATTTCAGCAATTATTTCCTTAATCTTCTGTTTCTGATCTTGGTACCTTAAGAAGAGCAGCCAATGCATGTTTTGTTTTGGAATTAGCACACTGATGCAAGTATTAAGATACGTGATTGTGGAGAAAATGGTCTCTAGATTAAGTTGCTAACTACTGAAAAGGCAGGGAAGAGTGCACATTGACTGGAAATGCAAGAATGAACAACAGGGTTTTAAAAATAATTTTTAAATTATTTAAATTTAAAAAAGCCAAACATCCAAACATTCCTTTTGAGGGTTCATCTGCTCATGGCGTGTGATTCATAACAACACGTAAGGTCAGCACTTAGATTGCTGAGCTTCTGTTGGGTGAGTGTTAAAAATGTGTCTCTCAATGCCAGAGGAAAGCCATAGTTTTGCTCAGGAAAATATAGAATATTCAAATTGAAATGGGTAGAAAATAGTGAGAAACAATAATGTGTTTGTTAGTGCTTGTGTTTCCCAGCCAGTGCGTTAGTATCTTACAGATGTTCACTTCTGTATATCTTATCTCAAAACCAGTACTTTTATATATCGTTCCTTGAACTCAGGTGAGTGTGAGCAGCATTTCCAATGGTCGTTATGAGTTCTTACACTCCTCCTCCCTCCACATTATCAAGTGGTAACTGTATATTACACAAACAGGACAGGTGTGTTTCTTGGTTGTACCTGTCGCCACCTCTCCGGCTCCACACTCTGTCGGTCTGTGCCCAACAGCTCAGGGAGAATGATGCCAGTTACAGCGGCAGGGACAGCAGATGATGCTGTTAACTCAAGTTGATACTTCCGAGATTAAAAAAAGAAGTGTCAGAATTACCTTGGAAAAGAAGAATTATTTGTTGTCTTTATGTCATTCTGTATCTGGACTGGAAAGGACCTCCTGGGCCAAAGAAATGCTTCCCTGCTCTATGATGCCATTATGTGACATGGCATTGATTTCATAAACTGGTAACAGCAGCAGTATTGCTGGTGGAAGGCCACTTCCCATATTCTGGTTTGGATTTATTACTGATCATTTCACACTCCTCTGCTCTTATATCAGCATTGTCCTTTATCTTAAATAGTCTCTTTCCAGTGACACTCACACTGGTGTTCATCACCTTGAAGTATTTGCAGATACCATTCAGATCATTTACTAAATAAACTGATATTCGTAGTGTTCTTGAATTCTAGAGCATCTTAGTAGTTCTCTTCTGCATCCCCTCAATTCTTTATTAATATTTTTTAGAGGTGAATGACTGGATCTTTAGGAGAGGTCACACTATGTTTTCTGTGTTAATGTTGTATTTGCTTATTTCCAAAAAGTCTACTTTATCTGGTAACTATGAGGACTGTATTGTTCTCTGACGTTTAATATTCATGACTAATCCACAAATACTACTTCACCAGCTTCGATATGGACTTCTGTAAGGGAGCAAGTTTTGAATAAAATAATTATGTACTGTATACATTTAAATTGGACTTCTTAATGAACATTTAGTGAACTGTAGGTTTTCTTTTTTCGCTTTCAAGACATTATTTTCTTTGGCTAGACATCTGACCTAACCTGTCCTGTCTTTTGTCCATCATTTATCTCCTGAATTACCACTTGCACCAACCCAGAACTTTAAAATCGGATCTGAAATTTTGTGTTAAACGTGTAGCTCAAAAATTTATGCCAGATAGCCAGAGCAGCCGTTCATTTTTGTGCACCTCAGATCCTGCTGTTCACAGGGAAGTTACACCCGTTCCTTCAGGAGCTGTGGGGCTTGCAGTGGCAACCCAAGTGGCCAGCGTGACATCCCTTGATATTATGCCTCCCTTTATCACCTGCTGCTGAAATTATCACTTGCCACTATCTAGCCTGGGACACTAGTCTTTAAAAGGTACTGTAGTCTTTTAAGAAAACAAACAAGGAAAAAGCCCAAGGCTTCAAGTCATAACAGCGAGTAATGAAATAAATTTTATCGGTCAGATGAAAACAGGCAGTATAAGACGAATAGTTAAGTTGAACAATTGAATTAATCCATATCTTACTGAAATAAGATACTGATATTTTGTGTAATCTTACTGGCTAAGCTTCTGAGGATGTCAATGAACACTGGACCGGTGCTTCTTTTAGGTAAAACTTGCATATTGTCAATACAGATGATTTGAAAATGTGAATTGTCTTTCAGCTGGGGATGAAAGTGTGACAATTGTAACTTTTTGGGAGGTATCCCATGAAAAGTACACCGAGTGTGCAGACAACGCAGCCTAGGCCATGTCTCCAAGAGCTAAACCAGCTATTTCATTCTCCCTCTGCATACTCTTACTTGGCATTTGCAGTGACTCAAGGAGCCTGATCTGATTTTTAAATGAGCACTGCTTTAAGCTGCAGGTCGGCTGAAGTGACGTACAGGGTTCCTTTCCAGCCTAAACTGGTTTGGACTCTAGGTGATCTGGTTTAGTCCACACTGTAAGTGCATTAAATCCTCAAAAGGCTCTTTTCAAGATAAAAAAAAAAAAAAAAAAAAGAAGTGCCCACATTAGAATCTAAGACAAAATAGCTGTTGCCCTTTA